GGAGGAAAAGGTGGGGTCAAGGGGGGGGGGGTGGCAGAGCACAGTGGCTCCAGTGGCAACTACTTTGCCTGGGGACTCCTTCACATCCATACCACAGGAGTGTATCACTGCAGCACATGAGGTGAAGCACCACACCGAGAGTGTCAATCAAACTAATTGCAGTGAGCCTGCATGGCACCAGAGAGGTGAATTGAAAGAAGATAAAGGTTTAATCAACTGTGGATTTCAACCGCTTAGCAGTAGCGCAGGGAGGAGGGGGGTCTACGGTGAAGCGCTGCAGGACGCGTCACCCTGCCTGGGCTTCCCCCTAACAATACAAAAAAACCTTTTAGCAGGAACATGAAAACAAAATTATAAACCAGTATATTCCCCCCATTCATTTAATATATATGGAAAAAATAATAAAACAAACAGCCATCAATGTCTTTTTTGTTTGAAAATGATGAACATGTTGTTCTTTCGTATATGATAGATTTGTCTTTTCTTAAACGATAATACGTTCACAAAAATACAATGGCAAACCAGTTTGGAATAATCTAAATATGCGTTCATAAGGTGGCATGTAATGGAACCAGAGGGAGGTAACGGGGTCATAAACATGGAGCCTTACAGAGAAAACACAAGAATGGACAGGTAGTATACATGAACACATCATCAATGAACCAAATAGAAACAGCTGAGCTATATACAATAAACAGAGACATAACCCATTTACCAACATCGAGGAAAGAATACAGCACGGTGAAAATGGGCGAGCGGAGCATTAGTCTTCGCGCCCATCCGCACGCCCGTCCGATTCGATTCGTGATTACGAGGCGGCAGGTCTCGCTACATCCTGACACCCAGTTGTCACACGTGCTGCAGTCGTGTTCCCCCCTGCCATCCTGGAGTGCCAATGTTCCTAGCTCTGTTATGTTTGCTCAGCTGTTTCTATTTGTTTTTGCCTGTTTCATTATATATGTCATCTTGTGTTTTCTCTAAGCATCCATGTTATGACCCGTTACCTCCTCATTCATCCCTGGGGTCATTACATTGCCACCTTATGAACGGACATATTTAGATTATCTCCAAACTGGTTTGCCATTGTATTTTGTGAACTGTATTATCGTTAAGAAAAGACAAATCATATATACGTAAAGAAAACAACATTGTTCACATTTCAAAGCAAAAAAAAGAGCATGATTGGCTGTTGTTTTATTATTTTTCCTATAATATGAATGATGAAATATACTGTTATACATTTGTTTTCATGTTTCTGCTAAAAGGTTTTTTGTATTGGTTAGGGGGAAGGCCCAGCAGGGTACGCGCCGCAGCGCCTTCAAACGTAGACCCCTCCTGCCGCTACTGCTAAGCGTTGAAATCCACAGTTGATTAAAAACCTTTATCTTCTTTCCATCACCTCGTCTGGGTGCCATGCAGGCTCACTGCACAATTAGTTTGATGACATCTCGGGTGTGTTTGCACTCATGTGTGCCAGTGATACACTCCTGTGTATGGATGTGAAGGAGCCCCAGGCAATTATAGTTGCCACTGGAGCACTGGCTGCCACCCCCTCTCCTCCCACCCCCACCCTCCAGCGTTACTCTCGCTCCTCCCAAGGAGCTCCACACCTTTGTCAAACAGCCCGTGGCGTTTCTGTCAGCTGACAAACCAACGCTTTTGAGTTGAAAGATGTTTTTTGTTGGTGCGGCTGCCATTGGCTGGATGTGGCAGATGTCGTTTTTTTTGTTTTAACTCCATGCACTTCCCACTGCTCTCTCTCCTTCATGGTGGCAGGACCGTCTCCTCCATTGAACTGTGGAAAAATCTGGCTGCCAATCAGATTCTGTCCAGGAACAAGTCCCTACAGCAGTTATCCAGAGGTTCAGGCTGGATATTTTTTAATGGCAGCATCTCTAGGCAGCTCAATTTAAAATATGCTCTGAGCCACTGTCACCATCTCATGGCTTGTTGTAAGGGTCGGCCAAAATAAGCTAATCTCACACACCCTTGTTTGGGGTAAATCCAAACCCTCCAAAAGAGAGTTACTGCCATATTTCTCAATCCTTACCATCTCTGTTGAAATTCTGGGATTTGTTTTTGGACTGTGCATTGTTGTACTGAGAACATCTTTGGGTCCATTCATCACCAATGGCTCAAAGATGGCCGCCGCATTGAGGGTTTCGTTCACAGATTCTCAGCCCAGGTCTGTCTTTGCATACCTTTTTGCATTTTGGTGCTGTGGACACGGACGTGGAGAAATGGAGGTGCTATATCCCATTCTGTTTCTCCCATGTTGTCCTCTGGTCATACTAACTCCATTTTTTGTACACAATGTTATGCTGTAGAACATGAAAATAAAAACACCATGCCTCAAGCCTACAAAGTGTCCAAACACCAGTTAGTGGGGGGGTCGCCCGCAACCCTCTGTTTTTTCTCACCTGCGTCTTCATCAGTGTTCATGCTTTTATTTTGGTGACCAGTGCTCATTGCTCCGTGCCTACTTGTTGACCTCAGACATGTAGGTAAGAGCAAAGAACATGGTCATTTATTATAATTTATTGCTTCAAAAAATCTTATTTTAGAGAATAATAAATATGTTGCTATTCCCCAAACATCAGCCTAAGGTTCATTTAGCTTTCGCCCATATCACACAGTCTTCATTCATGGCATCATTTGTCAAGGAATTGTTAAAATTGTACATTTTTCTTTGATTTGATAAGAAGCATATCATCTAGTGATGAAAAGCATCTGACACTGTCGAAAGCTTCAGAAGGAGTGAGTTAATAGGCCCAAAGTTGAAATGGTTTCATCAGCTAATATACAAACTGAACTTCCAACAAACATTAAACATGGCAATATCTTTTAAGAGCAACACAAACTCACCTGTGGTTGCTCGTAAAAGCAGGAAATGGTCATTTGAACTGACATCACAGTCCATTTGCACCAGACGGATGAACATGTTGTGAAATGTTTTGGATATTGGATAATTGACTTCCTTTTGGGCAAAACGAAGAAGGATAATGACTCTTATATTTTACCCTAATGATGCCAAACAGGCCATATGGCGTCATGCTTCTGATCTGATCTTATTCACATTAGAGCAGAAGTCAGCTGGCAGCCCTGCAACCTGGGGGAGAGCATCTAAACACAGCATTACATAAACATGTGTTCGCACAGCAGAATTCAAACTGTGGCATCAAAGAGCCACAATAGGCGGTGTTGTTGCTCTAGTGCGAGTGATATGAATACTTATGAGCACTTCTTTTGTGTCTCCCTTCATATTGAGCCGCTGCTCTGGCTTTTGTTCTCTGCTGTGTTTACCCCCTCCTCTGCCGCCTAATAAAGGGCTGAGCGTTCTGCCATGATTTATAGACTGAATAAAACGAGATAGCATTATTCTGCTTACGGACGACATAAAAATCAACTCTTGTGAGTTATGAGGGACCCTCAGTGTTTATGTCCCGAAACACAGCCACACACACACACACGATATGTCCATGCATGTTGTCCAGCTAGCTTCTGAACAGTGATTGCTTTATCTGCAGTTCATATGTTGACAGTTTTATAAGCATTCATGATGTATGCAGCTGATCCTTACTGAGATCAATATTTCATACATGACAAGACTTGTTTGTGACAGGAGGCTGACACTTATTACACTTTATATCATCCAAGTATAGCTCAATATAATCTACAATATATACAGATTAAGCTGCAGCACAGTATATCCAAGCTAGGTATAAGTATGTTGATGTGACATCTCTGAATTGAATTCTAAAAAATCTTCTCATTTCCATTTGTATTTGCTCTGGAAGTTGAAATTAGAGTGTCGGGTATCCCTTCAATCAGCTGTCCCCCTGAGCTCTGCGGTTGCAGATTAGCCATGCACTTGTAGCGGCCGATAAAACATGTCAGCACATGCCCACAGAGTTGTTTTCTGTTGACCTGCAGCGCCTGCACACAGACCCTCCTGTGTTCTGCAGAAAAACACCACCCAACAGTATCTGCAGCAGGTGGCAGTCAGACGCTATGTGAGAATGACTGGATTAGTATTCAATTGTGCTTTGTTATTAAAGAAATGCGCAGAGTGGAGTTCACCTGAGCAGTCAAAGCGTTGCCTTGCATGACCCTGAGTATGGATTTAGTAGCAGTGTGAAGTCAAACATCCCAGTAACTGTTAGTTTCTATGGCAACCATGCGGGTAGGG